ACAATAATTACTTCCTCTAATTTCCACATTAGATATTAATATTGACCTCCACTTTGGTAATTAACTATTTATTAAATTACACGTGTCTATTATTATAGACTACTATTATGGTGAAAATAAATTCTACAATATTACAGCAAGTGAAAAGAGTTTAATGTATTCTCAGTTTGGTCGCAACTATTTAATAGATTCAGAATCTGATGATATCGATCCTATAGGTTTCCCCCGACATAATCCATAAACGTTCCCCGCGGAATTATGTAGGCATTTTTCTGACCTTTTTAAATACCTAAATCAGTAAATTCCGGGTAAATTTATACTAGTTTGTCGATTTGAATTATTGATTAGTATTAATACTATACTAATTTTGTTCACAATAATTACACGACGAGCCGTATGGTGGGACATCCCTTCATTATTGAACCATTTGGTGTCATTGATGTATTTCGTTGAACTCAGTTTTAGTGCATTAATCACCCTCACTTAAAACTATGAATAATTGTCATACACATTTAAATTATTGAAAACGGACAAATATAGTATTGTTTGTGTGGATTTATTTATATATGTCATGCAAGATAGTTTTTCATTTTAGGCGATTTAGCTGTGAAATTAACGAGTATGTGACGTAGAGGGACCATGTATTATGGATTTATGTCACGGTATTTGGCACTGTTATGTGTGACGTAAGAATCACGTGGTTAAATGTGTCATCGCATCGTGCGTGTGGTTTATGTCATATATTATTAGGTTTGTATGACGGTATACTGCAAATGTATGTAAGTGTGTTCATTTTGTATACGTCAAACACATCAGAGCATGGGGTATAATAGATTTGTTGTACATTTAGCCACATGATATGCAAATTAATTCACCCCTAACGACACTGTGGCAGTGAAAAAATTCATGGCAGAAACAATAAACTCGAAATGTACACAACATGAACTGTATAGTCCGTCCTTGTAAAGACGGACAGGTGCCAACATAAAAAACACGTCTGATATGAATTCGACACGAGGTGCCATACACTGGCACTTTATGTTAAAGCTGTCCCACAGCAACACAACACAATATTCGAATTTAACAGTCCATACATGTACATGTTCACGTCTCATTAAATACATAACATAATACAAACATAATTGCGATCATATTTGGGTCACGTGAAAACACTGCATACCCAATTTTTTTTGTTTAGTCAACTCACGTTTTTCATTTAATCACGTTAATTGGAATCCATCATGTCATGGAATCATACATGGTATTCCTTGAGAAAATATTTTAATTAGTTTTATGTAAAGCAGAATAAAGGGATTGTGGGATAAAGCCACCTGGATGAAATATAATATACATTCTATAAATAAACTACCAGCATACCTATAGAATTCTAATTCAATGACTCTACTTTTTTGAGTTTCATACTCGGCCGAGTATAATGGTCACGTGATGTCGTGACTCACATGCGAGTCTCGTAAGAGGCAAACTCGGAGATATCAATCAATCAATCGACCTGTGACTTGTTCAAAATGAACAATAAACACATATTTGAGAGACTGTTATTACATGTTTCAAGGTTCCATCCCAAAGATGGACGTTTTTATTCATTCGTCAATAGACAACTTCGTGAGGGTGAACTGAAGGAGCATTTATTTCGACCCGACGATAGCGTAGTTCCAGATAACTTTTACAAAAGGCCATACATCCTGTATCGGTACTTGATTTACGTCGGTCCGCAGAAACAACTCCCTATTATTATGTTAACTACCCACTCGGCACAATTCACATTGACACGGTTTTCAAACAATGCTATCCTTGTTCTCCGCTCCGACACAGAATGGGAACGCCGGTTCGCTGTGTATATAGCACCGACTATAAAACCACTGTGTCGAAATGCGACACGATTTTTTCGCGTATAGAGAAAAAATCAACGACTCGAAGACTTTATAATTTAACGTACATAGGGAAGGGAAAATGAATGAATATAATCATACTACGGGCAGTGTGAGCTATATACATAGTCCATGAGTATGCTTTCTGCGTCAGAATGACGTGAAATGGCGAGTATAAGATACTTAAGTCGTCTACAGTAAGGGTGTGTCAGTGCAACTATCGATAATTTTTATTCACAATGTTAATAACCTACCTGTACAGATCCAAACCTTGTGATGTAAGCTTTGGTAGTCCCCACTCCCGTATTATATGACTGACAGCAGTGATGTGACATCAACCGAAAGTGACTCCTCTCTATTGGTACGTCCGTGGAGATAGATACGATATCTAGAGTCTAGAACATTAAAATTAACACTGGAATAAATGTCACCGTACTCGTAAAAAACATTAAAGTCCTAGGCGTGGTAAACATGAGAAAGTTTCCATTTTCAAACGACGTAAATATATACACTGAACTGTACACAACAAGGGGTGTATGCAGCTTCCAATTCAATGTAGCAGATGGGAGACGTGTGCCAACTCATACAAAATGTATTAACATGTTATTGTTGGTACTCTCTCTGCCGTTGGCGGCGCTACCTTAAAACTAACCCTGTAACAGGTGCGCCATGTCATATTTGCATATTAATCCTGAACTTGACTTTCGAAACAGCGACGCCCGACACAAGATCGTTATTTTTGGTATTCCTGTGTTTACCTAACACGAAAGTATTTTTTATTTATCGTTTTAGTGTGAACGCCCACATATAATGTATAGTTGAAGTGATTAGTAAAGAAAAATATCTAAAAATGTTATTCCGGCATTTGGGTGTGACAATTATGGAGTTCGAAGACTATAAGATCTAAAATAATCTCATACTAAAATAATTGATAGAACCATTGTATATGTTTCTTTTGGGGTAGACCTTTTTTTGAAATCAACTAAAAATCCTACCTTCGCATGTTATATATATATTTCGCTGACACTCGGACATTATTGTTGGTCTTGTTATTTTTATTTTTGACACGATTAAACTGATATGGTAGGCCATGTAATGCGAACGTCCACATCTGTGTATAATTGATAGGTAAGCGTAAACCCTATAGTGCGATTCAACTTGGACACTTCTCATTTATCACCGAATCATCCATAATGGAAAAATAATCAAAAACCGTGTGTCATTCAAAGTTATTTGTCACGACTCGGGCGTACACATATAAACGTAACATATCCGTCATCGTCTTTAAAATTGGCACCGAACGTGAAATCATAGCCGTGGGTCTGTATTACTTGTGAATCTCAAGTTGTTTATTGTTGTTATCGCATACATATGTGACCCTTTCCGTTAAACTATTGGGGCATAGTATATGATTTTTGTTCAAATATATTTAAATTATATTTTCTTTTCAAAATAGGTATTATTTATTGAAAAAAAGGTTAAGCATCCATTACAAAAACAAGTTTCAACTAGAGCTAGCATACATACAGCTATGGTGGATCTCAATCGTATTAAGATGTCTATATCTTCACATGAACTTATTAAACAAATGAGCCCTGTGTTTGATTTTCATGGGGAATGACATTATTGTCATTGTACTAGCACTCTTGTGTTTGTTTCTCTACGGCGAAACTCACAGCTAGTATATTATATGGGTTGATATTGTTAACTTACACAACAAATCCATCCTTTTTTTTCCTAAATATTTATATGACATTTGAATCGAATTAGCCAATCCGAGCGCAGTATGGCATTTTAATCCACTCAGCCAATCCGAGCGCAGTGCGCAATAACGGCTTTTAAAAGGTTCCAACGCTATTTCATCGTACGGTATAAACCTTTGAATTGTGACTGTGTTGTATCGATTCACTGCATGCTGACTGGATACAAGGAAGACAAAACCTGTTGACGTTATAAACGTTTTATAAATATACAATTTTATAAATAAAAAATATGTATTGATTGACCAATCCAGAAATGGTGTTGTGACATCTTCTTTAGTTCTAATTATCAGTGCAATGCAGTGAACGTCAGAAACCGGGGACGTTATACGCATTTTATAAATATAATTGTTCAATCAATCATAATGGCTGTTAGAATTCAAATTTACACAGCAATAATGTACTGTGACACCATCGTGAGTTCTAGTTAATATTAGTAGTGAGGTAGTTCAACATAAACCAATCAGCAAGCGATTAATTTGAATAGGTGGTCGCAGAACTTATGTCACGTGATGCATGCACTCGCATTAGTAGATGCACAATGTTGAGCTCTTGGACAAACTTGAATCACTATTCAATATATTAATTTGAATAAAGGTACAGATTTCTTTCGGTCACTGTATAAAAATGTATTGAATATATTGTGTTTTTAATAATGTGTTTCCATTATGATATTCAATGGGAATTGCTCTCCCATATTGCATTGCATATGCTCAGAGCATGTTCATAGAAGTACAACTTAAACTAATAATTGACAACGACTGTGTGTATAAATTGCTAACAACTGAATACATTTAGACATTGTAAATAATCCTGAAACTTGTCAAAATGTTACCGGTTTACGAACTTCTTGCGAAAAAAACAACAACAATAGTTCAAAGCTTGGATCAGTGAACGAACGTTCAAGACGGTTCTAAAATATTTAAGGCAGGTTAATTGGTCGTGCGCTGCCCAGCGTCGCCTAATCGTTGTTGAAGTATGTCTCATCGAATATTTGCATATAATTAGCCCAGCTCTACCAATCGAATATCGACGATAAACTCATAGTAACGTTCGAGTGCTTGGTAACACAAAATAATTAACTTTTTTTTACACTTTCAAGGCAAATTATATATAAAAAATGACTATTTTTTATATTGGAAACAATTGGCGCAGAAATTAAAAAAATTAGTAAAAGAAATTCACTCACACTTATATTTGGTGAGACCACGTCCGGAGACTACGTTACATCTGCTACCTTTCTTGTGCCGGACGAAATGAAATGCGTTGCTTATCACAGCGCCCTTTGCGGACAAAATGAACATCACGAACGGGTGCGAGATTGTCGCGAGATTCCAAGTCAGGTGGTTAAAGAAGATGGCGGAGTACGGCGTAGGTTTTGTGGCCATTCTGTTGGCTTACCTCACGTTTGTGGCTGTGAGAGACTTCACACAGCCGATAAATCAAGTGGAAGCAGAACAAGATGTATCGCTTCCCAAAAAGTTAAAACATTTTGGCGGCCCCGTCATTAGATTTATGTACTGGTAAGTGTAAAATCGAACTACGCACTGTACAATGTACTGTATCATTCACTCCTGAAACATTCGCTTGTAAAATGATGATAAAGAAAAATACGGCGGCAGGGTTCCAGTAAAAGTCATATTTACCTTACACGTAACTCTGCTCCTGACGTCGTACACAGTACATGTCTGTATATTATTTTCGCGCAAACCGTACCGGGTAGTTTAATTCCATTGTTCTTTTTTTAACTCGTGATTTCAATTTATTATTGTGACGACCGAAAGTGTTAACACCGGTTACAAGTAAATACTAATAGATTAACTGTGGAGATTTCGTTTGATACTGTTTCTGTTAGATATCACACAATGTGAAAAATATGTTTAACTGATCAAGGGTCAACTAAAAATTTCCAGTGAGGCAAGGTTCACTGCTCTGCAAACAAAAGTACAATTTTCAGTGTAGGGTGATGGTTAAACTACATTTATTTTGTCAATAAGTGTAATAAGACATGCTACAACAAGGCAACGATGGGCAGTGTTTGACCCATTAAAATGCTTTTTTCATGTGCGAATACAGCATGGATACATCGCATCTCAAGCAAAAATAATTTCTATAGTCTATAAAGTCAGGGCGAGGCCATGGTGTTCTTTTATTTTCTCAGAACCACTTCATCCAAAATGTTTGTGCAAGGACAGTGATCTATTTAAGATGCTGTTCAATGATTGGTTACAGGCCCGTAGCCAGCACTTTTAATAGGGGGTTCGAAAACAACAATTATATATTTGATGTGAAATGTGTGGATTTATAATAATCAAAAAGTGTTTTGAGCTCTGTTACAGACATTTTTATATTATCGGTTTTAAATTCAATTGGTTTACTTTGTGTTACGTTGGTAAGATATTTCACATAACATCTTTGAACTATTTTATCATTTTAGAGAAGGGGTCCTGAGCAATTCCCTACCTACAGACAAACGCATCTACACCATTGATCCACTACGGCAAAATGTTGTACACAAAAAAGACAAGACTGTACTTATCTTAGCATTATTGTCTAAGTATTTTAAGGTAGAAGGCTACTTATGAGTTTTTTCGCTCTTCGCAGATGTTAGCGCACATAAAAGTGATACGATTTCATGTCGAAATCTGTCTACAATTATTCATTTTAGTATTAGTCAATTTTGTATTATGTAATTTTATTTCTGTACAGGGCCTCAGCCTATCGTAAAAAATGTAATGGGTAGTAAAGTGCATAGCACGTTTTAAACACAATACAACATCCATGTAAACATATGGTACTAAGTTAAGCTGAATTCATATTCAGCTCGTCGCTTGAAAACTTTTAAAAGATATAAAGCTATTTGATATATGGTGTGGCAATTTGTGTAGCGACTAAGTAAGCCCAGACTATCAGTATTTGTATAATTGCATAGGGTTATTGACAAAAGATCAGCCCTCATTATAAAATGGACATATAAAAACAAAGTGAATTTTATTTTCTACCATGCTAAATTCGAACATTTCACTGCAAAAACTAAAAAAATATTGATCTAACTGTATTTTTGTGTGTCTGCCTAATTCAACATTATGTTTATGGCCAAAACAGCGAAAACTCA